GGTGGGGTGTCAGGATGACTGATGTAGGTGGCTATGGGGGGTGGTGACAGTGGGCAGGTGAGGCTGGGAGCTGTGAACCAAGCATGCCAAGGTGGCCGCAGCCCCACAAACCAGGTGGCTCCTGTGTTTACATCCCACAGGCCAGTTAGTTGCCTGTGATCCCAATCCCAGAAGTCAGTGTAGGGGCCCATGGTCCCCAGGGCCAGTGAGGCAGCTGTAGCTTTGGGGTGTGTGTGTCCCCTCCTGTGGGGCAGGAGGGGTAGGAGGCCTGCGGTGACTCGGCGTCTGACACTCCCAGGTCCTGAGGCAGCAGGGGCCGCAGCGGCTCAGCAGGGTGGCTACGAGATCCCAGCCCGCCTTCGGACCCTGCACAACCTCGTGATCCAGTACGCAGGTCAGGGTCGCTACGAGGTGGCTGTGCCACTGTGCCGCCAGGCCTTAGAGGACCTGGAGCGGAGCTCAGGCCACTGCCACCCTGATGTAGCGACCATGCTCAACATCCTGGCGCTGGTGTACCGGTGAGGGCTGAGGCTGCCGTGGCTGAAGGGGACTGGAAGGGCAGGGACCTACTGTTGGGCAGGAGAGGGGGAACCCTGATGTCCTGCTTGGCCAGCATAGGGCACCTGGGATGGTGGTGGGGAGAAGGGACTGAGATCTGCAGAGGCCAGAGACTCAGGCAAAGAGGAGACAGTGTGGCCAACAGAGACCTGGGGTGACAGAGGAGTGCAGGGACCCTGTGCGCGACTTGGGAGGTGTGGGGAGACCCAGAAGGGACCCCCCCCAAAGGGCGCCACCCATGCTTGGTTCTGCCAGGTCCCTGGGCCTGCCGGGTTCAACCCAGCCCATGGCCCCTGCTACCCCAGGTTGGCCAAACCCCCTCCAACCCTGGGCCGCCCCACAGGGACCAGAACAAGTACAAGGAGGCCACAGACCTTCTCCATGATGCTCTGCAGATTCGAGAGCAGACGCTGGGCCCTGAGCACCCAGCGGTGAGTGGGGGCCCAGGAGGGAGGGAGGGCTGTGGCCTGTTCCTTCCCACTCCTGACCCACCTCCTGCACCCCACAGGTGGCCGCCACCCTCAACAACCTGGCTGTCCTCTACGGGAAGCGCGGGCGTTACCGGGAGGCGGAGCCACTGTGCCAGCGCGCCCTGGAGATCCGAGAGAAGGTTCCACCCCGCCACCCCTCCCCGGCTCCCATGGAGCCCTTGTCAGCATGGCTCTTCCCACTTAATCCTTAAGTGCTCAATTCTGTGGCTCTCACGTGACCCTGATTTACTCCTGTGATCTCTGACCTTCTGTGCCCCTCCCATTTAATGTTGTGAACCCCCAGTCCGAACCTAAAGCACTTAGTTCCATGACCCATCACCCCTGACCTAGCATGAGCTCCATTTGATCTTGACTCCTGACTCTGACGACACCTTTTGTAACTCACCTCATTCCCTCACCCAGTCCTGACCTTTCAGCCCCACAAGACCAGTACAGCCCCACCCTTGAGCTACCTGTTTGACCCCATAATCATGAGGTTCTGGACCACCATGAGCTCTGACCTTACTAATCCCCAGTTTGATGGGGACAACTCCTGCCCTTCACCTCCAACCTCATGTAACTCTCCACTTCGATCCTCTAATCACCAGTGGCTCCCTCCATGGCCACTGGCATCACGTGGCCCGTCAATCCCAGATGACCCCAATGACTTGTGACCCGATGACCCCTAGGTCCTGGGCGCCGACCACCCGGACGTGGCCAAGCAACTCAACAACCTGGCCTTGCTCTGCCAGAACCAGGGCAAATTCGAGGAGGTGGAACGGCATTACGCGCGGGCCCTGAGCATTTACGAGGCCCTGGGCGGGCCCCACGACCCCAACGTGGCCAAGACCAAGAACAACCTGGTGAGGGGGCCCCGGGAGGACTGACAGGGGTCTAGTGCTGGGGAGGCACCCACTGGCTCCCTGGTGGGATACTGCAGAGGCTGGGGCCCCATCTCTGCCTGGCCCTCGAGGTGTCCCATGAGACTGCTCAGCACAGTGGTATGGAAGTGTCTGGAAGCAGGCAAGTTGGCAGCAGCCAGAGAACAGCTCCAGTCAAAGCGGGAGCAGACGACAGCATTTATTGACCTAGGCCCCCTTCTTAGTACTTGCCCTGCACCATCCATTTCTTCAAGGGCCCTGTGAGGTAGGTGCTCCCCTGGCCCCATTTGGCAGAGGAGGAAACTGAGGCACAGAGAGGCACGCACTGGCTCTAGGCAGAGTGGGGAATAGGCTCCTGCTCTGAGCCAGGAAGTCAGCTGCCCTATGGGCAGTGGCGGGGTCGGGCTCCAAGCCCACTCTGCTGTAGGCTGAGGCCTTGAGTGTTGGTGAGCCTGTGCTTCCTCCTAGGGGGCTGGGAAGGACCAGCCTGGGTGCAATGCTGGGGCCTGGAACGCTCCCAGATTTGAGCCAAGATCAACCAGGCCATCCCCTCCCCTCAGGCTTCAGCCTACCTGAAACAGAACAAGTACCAGCAGGCAGAAGAGCTATACAAAGAAATCCTCAGCAGGGAGGACCTGCCCGCCCCTCTCGGTGAGCCCCAACCCCTCCCCTCTCCTCCAAGTGGCTCCTCAGCGTCCTGCTACAATGTCCCCATCTGTTCCCCAGGAGCCCCCAACAGAGGCACAGCTGGTGACGCTGAACAACAGGTGAGAACAGGCTTTGCTTCAGCTCCCAGAGTGGGGACGGGGGCTGGATGGAGCGAGGGGTACTGACCGATATCCCCGGTGCCCTCCCCAGACCCTTCGTCGGAGCAGCTCGTTCTCCAAGCTCCGGGAGTCTATCCGACGGGGAAGTGAGAAGCTGGTCTCCCGTCTCCGAGGCGAGGGGGCAGCGGGGGCAGCCGGGTGAGTGTTGGGTCAGGTCAGCGAGAGCATGGACTAGCTGCAGAATCTGTAGCCCACTCCCCTCCTGCTCAAGAACCTTCCATGGCTCCCATCTCCCCTGTGACACATACTATCAAACCTGGTGCTGGAGAGACTGTTCCCAGCATGGGAGCCAGATGCTCGTGGACTCACTCATGCCCCACCCCCTGCCCCTTCCTCCGCAGGATGAAGAGAGCCGTATCGCTCAACATGCTGAACATGGATGGTCCAAGGGCTGCTGGGACCCAGGTGAGGGGCACACCCAGTCAAAGATAGACTGGCAGGCCCAGAGGTGAGGGAAGGGTGGGGATGGATGGGTTTGATCTGGGTAGAGGCAGGGGGATGTGGGGACAGGAGGATGAACACCTCAGCCAGCAGGACAGACAAGCTAGCACCAGGCGGCCAGGGAGTAGCCCGAGTGGCAGATGGAATGGAGCCGGGTCGGCCCCTCACCTGCCTTCCACTATCCCCTGTGCCTGTCCCCAGTTCCCCAACCGGCACTTGAGTGAGGCCTCTCGGACCCTCAGCGCCAGCACCCAGGACATGGGCCCCCGCTAAAGTCGACTTGGCTGCAGCTTCTGGGGATGAGTGGGAGAGAGGTGGGCAGAGGGGAGTCTGTTCATCTCCATGGCTCTCCCCTGGCCTCCTGGGGGCCCCCACTATCTTGGGCTTTCCTGTTGCCCTCTCCTTCTGCAATTAAAGGCTGTAGATTTGGCAGCCAGAACATCTGCCTCAGGTTTCCTCCCTCAAGGTGCCCTCTGAACCACCAGGATCCAGGGCCAGGTCAGACTCGGAGTCACCACAAACACCTTTTATGTTCCCAACCCCCTCACGCTACAGCTGCTGCGCGATCTGCTCTATCCTCCGCAGCGTCTCCTCTGACTCCAGCTGCTCCAGGCTGAGCAGGGACAGGCCCAGCTGATCCTCCTGAAGGGGCGGGAGAAAGGGGGGTGTCAGACAGCTGCCGCGCTTCCCAACACAGGGGTTCACAACTTGGCCAGTAGTGACAGGAGGTGGCTACAGGACAGGATGTTTGAACGTCAAAACACCTGTATAAGCAGAGCATCCCATCCCTGTAACTAGAAGACAGGCTGAGGGAGGGGGCGGCGGCCAGAGAGCTGTGTCCGGGGCCAGCTCAGGGCTCCCACAGGAGACACACGCTGACATCTATTGTCCTCAACTCTCCCCCCCAGTTCCCAGGCTTGGCACATGGGTACACACAGACCTCTCCTCGTTGGGGGAGGGCTGGGGCTTGGGGAGAAAGCCAAGGGACCTTCCTGGAAGAGGAGCTTAGCTGCCTCGGGCTCACCCGGTGGAATGGCTGTGCCATCTGCCTCAGGAAGTACTTGGCGACCTGGACCCCCTCGTCAACGGTCAGGTTGAGGTTGGCATCCGTGAGGTGCTCCTGGATCCAGCGGGGCAGTTTCCCCCGCTTGTCCGCCCGGGCAAACCGCTGGGAGTGGGAGAGGGAAGGTGTCAGGACACCAATGCGGGGGGCCTGGGCCCCCTCCCCCTCTGGGAAAAGAATGCCAACAGCCTGGTTGGCAGAGGCCCCTGAGCCCGCACCTTATCGGCGAAGACCATGAGGCCATAGTCCGTCTTGCCTCTGATGGCCCGTCCCACACACTGGGCTGCGTGGCGCATGGCATCGAAGGTGAGAAAGTCATTCTCTCGAATCTGGAATTGGTCCCGAAGATATTCCAGCCGCGCCTGTGGGTGTGGAGATGGGGGAGATGTCCCTCACACAGTCCCGGGGGGAGGGCCCCACGGAGGCCTGAACATCCTACCAACCCCAGGCGCTGCTCACCTTGAGAATGCGGCTCTGGGTGTAGACGTAGGGGACACCAAACATGATGACAGCCCGCCCGTAGTGGTGCACTGGGTGGGGGGAATGAGAGGGGTTGCCACTGTGGCCGGCTGGAGAAGGCTGACCTCAGGTGGCCCAGGAGATCCCACTGTTGGAGCAGGTGTCCCCCCAGGGGCCCTGACAGATGCCCAGGGATGGAGGGAAGGGGAGGTGTGTGCCCAGGCTGTGGGTGGCCCCCTGCGGGAGCAGAAATGACCAGGGCCCCACGCAGGTACTCAGGGAGGGGAGAGCCTAGTCCACTCACCGAAGTCGATTCCCTCGGACACTTTGCCTCGGGCCACTGAAAGCAGGATGGCCCCACGGCCGTTCTCACAGGCCTGGGGAGGGAAGGCCAGGACATGAGATGCATTACCTCAGAGCTGTCTCCTCTGGCCCCTCTCCAAACCGAACTTCTGGCACCCACCCCCATAGTACCCACCTCCTGGTACTTCTCCAGGGCGACGCTGGTCTCAGCCCCGTCTTGGGTCTCGATAAAGAGCAGCTTGTTCCTCTGGATGTTTTCGAGGATGCCCTTAGGGGAGGACACCAGGGAGGTCAGGGTGTGGGTTGGTAGAAGGTGGATTGAAGGACAGGGGAGTCCTGGTTAAACTCAGGTCTGCCCCGGATTCCATGAAAGGGACCACTTCTTAGTTTGCCCATAGGAGACTTGGTGGGGGGTGGCACTGTCCAGCCTCACTTCTTTGGAAAACCCTGTGGTCAAGGTAGGGAACCCTTCAGACAAGTAGGACAGGCATGTGACTCAAGATGGCCTATCAGGATGCTCCACCCTGCAGCTGGTGATTGGTGGAGAGGCTGATGTAGGCCAGGCAGAGCCAATCAGAGGCTGCCTTGAAATTTCATATTTGATACTGTAAGAGATGTGTGGTACTGATCAAGGACAGACATGTGGATGGACCAGTGAGACAAAACTGTCACTTGTGCCATTTAGTGGGGAGAGCTCTTTTCAGTAACTGGAACTGAAGCAATTAGATTTCCACACGGGAAAAAAATGAACCTTGACCCCTGCCTTACATCATACACAAAGATGAATCTGAGGTACCTCACAGACTTAGACATGAAAGCTAGAACTACAAAGCTTCTAGAAGGAAACACAGGAGACCATCTTCGTGAGCCTGGGGTAGACAAAGTTTTCTTAAATAAAACACAAAAGGTACTCAGGATGTGGGGCCCAGGTGGCCAGCAGCCACCTTTCCCGTGTGGAAAGAACCGGTCTGAGGACAAGACCAAGGTCCCGGTTGTGAGCGGCTGAGGTTCCCACACACCCCCACCGGCACCACTCCCCGGTGCACCTATTAGCCTGGTCCGCTCATCTCACCCCACAGAAATGCTTGCTCTCACTCACTCCTGAGTGTGCTCAGAATCAGAAAGGATGGGTGCCCCGCCCCCACCCACATCCTGTTGGGTGCCCAGCTGGGATGAGCCCCATTTCCAGAATGTCCCATGACCTCGTGCTCACACTCCCCAGAAGGGGCTCTTGCAGGCTCTTTGCCCTGACACTCTGTCCAGCCTTAATTCTCCAGGACCTTCCCCTAGCAGCGCTGCACCCAGCTAGACACACCTGCTACCCAGTGTCCTCACACCAAGCTGTATGTGCTGGAGGGACACAGTCACAGGGTGACCCCGAGGAGAGCAGAGGGAACAAGGAACCCAGAAGGCGGGGTGTGGTCACCTCTCTTGAGGGGTATGCCTTTGAGGAAGGGACCCAGCGAGGCCGCTAATGTCTTAGTTCTTAACATGGATGTGAGGGGAGGAGGGCACAGGAGTGAACACTATTTACTCTTTAAACTGTCCATCTGTGTTTTATACACTGTCCTGTTATCTATGACACATGTCACCATTTAAAACACAAGAGGAATGAGGCCAACACATAGAGGAATGGAGCCAAGAGCTGAGAGGGGGCCTTCCCGAACGTGGGTGGCTGGGCGTACCTGCTCGTACCAGGAGGCCACGGTGCTCTCCATGTACTGGTAGCTGGTGAAGAAGGCCACGATGCCATCGGGGACCACAGCGGACATCTCCAGCAGGAGGTTTCCATAGTTCCGGATCACCGCTGCGAGGGGTCAGAGGATGGGTCTCCTGGCCTGGTCCTCCTCTGACTCCCTCTCAGAGCTTTCCTGGCTACTGCCTTGTCCTGAACATGGAATTCCTAGAAACCCCACTGAGGCATCTGTCGGGCTGTTCATCCACATCCCACTTCTCCCACCAGATCCACGGTGGCACCCCACCCCTTGAAGTTGGGCGTGGTCACATGACTTGCCATGGCCAATGAAATGAGTGCAGAAAGGGCCGTGTGTCACTTTTAGGTGAGAACTTTTATGAACTAGTGCACGGTTCACCATGCTCCCTCCCGTCACATCCTGCCACCACAGTGCTGGGTTCAATAGTGGAGTTTCCCAGAATGAGGAGACACAGGGCAGACCCCCACCAACCCACAAGGGCAAGTACAATGGGCAAGAAGTAATCTCTGTGTTAAGCCACTTTGATTTGAGGGAGTATTTGTTACTGCAGCATGACCTAGCCCATCCTGACTAACACACCTTCCATCTTGGGACCCATACAAACCACCCTCCGTGGGCAGCATACCAATATCTTCCCGGGTCTCAAATTTGGAGCTGATGGCCACCTGGTCATTTCCACGGCCAATGATCTGGAGACAGCAAGAGAGGTCATAATAAGTCAAGCAACAGCAATCTGTCTGATGTGTGAGGGCCAGATGGCTGCTCGTGCTGTCCTAAGCTTTTTATAGACACCGTGTCATTGAAGAACCCTCAGCTGCCCTGTTATCTGCATGGCAAAGATGACCTAAGGCTCACAGAAGCAAGGTCACACGGCAAATAAATGGCAGAGTCGAAGGTGAACCCAAGTGTGTGCATGTGTCTCACCAGCAAGTGCCCTGTAGCCAGCCCTGGCCTCCAGGCCAGTCAGTTCCAGTATGGTCTCTCACCACCACCCCAAAAGCCACTGGTGCAACCCAACCAGCAACCTAACAAAAGCACAATGCAGTGTGGGGTCAGCACCAGTCCACGATCCCTGAAGGGCAATTCAAAAAGCCAGAGCACTCTGGAAATGCCAGGTGTTTGGCACAAACTCAAATAGTAGCAAAAGCTGCCCTCCCCTGAGCCTATTCGGAGTCCTGACTTATCTCCCTTAGTCTGTCTCGTCGAAACGCTGGCAGAAATGTAACTTTCACTGGAGGGACTTACCCAGACCCCACTAGGACTGTTCCACACCCAGGCTGGAAGGCCTGGAAAATTCTCAATTCTAAAACATATCTGGTCCCAGGACTTCCGGTACAGGACTGAGGGCCTGTGTTATGATATTCATTTTACAGAGAAGGGGACTGAGGCAGAGTGGAAGGGTCACTTACCAAGGTCACAGCCAGATAATGAGCCAGGCAAAGCCACGTTAACCAAGCCACGTAGCAGGCCCTGGGCCACACAAGCTTTTTTCACACCCACTATCTCACTAAATCCCCTCAACCACCCAGGGAGATCAGGGAGGGGGCAGTCCCATTTCACAGATGAGAAAACGGAGGTTCAGGGAGTTACACTCACAGGGAGCAGCAGCATCAAGCCCAAGTCTGTCTGAATCCAGACTCTGTACCTGCAGCTAGAAAGCTCTCCCGCCCTCGCTCCCATCTCCCCGCCCCCATCGCCTCACCCTCTCGCACGCACCATGGGGCAGAGGCAGACCCGGGCCAACGTCATGGTGAAGGTTGCCATGGTGACAGGGTGGAAGTCCAGGATCTTGGGGTAGATGTCCAGTGGGGACAGTGTCTGTAGCAGTGACAGCAGGAGGAATCTTAGCAGGACTGGGCAGGAACCAGGACCCCTTCTCCCCAGTAGAGTGATGAGGGC